TCATGACTTTCTGATGACCCAACAGATCACAGTAAACGGGAAGGACTCTACAGCCTGCATCACATCTCCGTTTTTTCCAAGTGAGCATGACGTATTCCTGCATACCTTGTTAGACAAGTTCAATGGAGGGCAAGTCCTAGGGAAAACACAACACGGCTGGAGTTAGTGGGATGAAGTGGTTACTTGTTCAATACCTTTATACCTTTGCCCTTGAAGTGAGAAAAAAAATCTCTCTGAAGGTTTTAAACAGGTTTAAAATCTCTAAAGGCAGTAGCTCCGATGCTAATGTCTGCCTGCATTTCTGTGTTAAGAGTAATTCTAGCATGGCTCTGTGGCACAGCGGTGACGCGCTGCTCAGAAGAAGCTGGATTCCACATGGCAACCAGGGTTTGAGTCCTTAGCCTGGTCAGCCTGAAACATGCCAGGAACATGTACTAGTGTGCAGGATCTATCAGGCTAGAGAACTGGAGGAAGGGAATTCTGCAGCATGACCAGATCCTGTGAAAGTTGAATCCCTCTCTTTCTTACTCTCACCTGTGCGCTCACATGCTCTGTCAGCATAACAGGAGAAAAAGAATGAATCTAGGCTCACACACAGTGGTGCACACTGTAAGACACTGCTGCTTTGCTGCTCAGGCCACAGGGAAGACCTGGGTTCAATTCCTGATCCACTCCTAAAAAGTCAGGCATGGTGGTTTGTGCCCGTAGTGCCGGCTACTCAGGAGATTGAGGTAGAAGGAACACAATTTAGCAAGACATTGTCTTAAGAAAAAAATAAATAAATAAAAAGGACTAGGGCCAGCAGGTGGTGTGGTGATTAAGGCATTGGATTCCCACATGGCCTACTGCGGTTTGAGTTCTGGGCCTGGAGGCTTGAAAATCATGTCAGGAATGTGTGCACAAAATCCCAGGAGGAGAATGGAGGAGGAGGATGCGATGTGGCCACCTACCCTGGAGGGTCATGTCTCAGTTTCCCTTTTACTGTCTCTCTCTGACTGCCTCATCAAGCATACATGCCCTATGGCAAAACGTTAACATTTTTAAAAAGTAAAATAAAAATCAAAGATAGTTTGATTCAGATATATCATCTTAAAGGAGAGTGTCTTATAAATTCTGGATGTATGTCAGGGACAAAGAATGCCAGGACTGGGACTGGCAGTTAGTAATGGCTATGTCGCTGAACTCCCATGTAATTGACCACGGTTCGAGTTCTGGACCTGGTGGCTTAAACTCATGCCAGGTACGAGTGCGTGCGTGCCCAGGATCCAGGATACTAAGAGGAGAACGGAGGAGCAGTGTGGCCATCCCCCCTGGGGGGTGATTTCTTGCATTCTGTCTCTCTGTCACTCTCTGTCTTTCTGGCAAGTGCATGTGCCCTATAGCAAAAACCTCTCAAAAAAAAAAAACAAAACAAAACAAAACAAAAACAACAACAAAAAAAACAACAAACAATGCCAGGACTACTCATTGGTGATTCCTGATTGTTCCTTGGAGGAAGAGCTAAAATTAAGTCAATGAGTAAAAACACCAGCACCTCTTATGTCTATAGTAAATAGAAACAAACCTCCAATCATTATACCACCTCTTTCATGAAAGATGAAACCTTTCCCACAAAAACTTGTGTCACTATTACATTGAAATAGATACTTCTGGGACCAGCAGTTGGCGTAATGGCTATGTCTCTGGACTCCCATGTAGTTGACAACAGTTCGAGTCCCGGACCTTATGCTGGGTGCATGTGTGTGCGTGCCCAAGATCCTGAGAGGAAAATGGAGGAGAAGGCATTGCAGTGTGGACATCCCCCTTGGGGGGGAGGGTGTGATTTCTCACTTCCTATCTCTCTGCCCTTCTGGTGAGTGCACATGTCTTATAGCAAAAATCTCTCTGAAAAAATAATAAAGAAAGAAAAGAAATAGATACTTCTATTCTGGTGAAATGCAGATGGCAGACCGAAACAATTGAAGCCGCAAAATACACTAATTCTAAGGAGTCAGAATTCTATGAGAAATCACTCTGCTTCACCTTCAACACACTGTCCTACATACATTGTTTTTATTTGTTGCTTACTACAATAAAAGGCAAAATAATTTTTACAAGTAGTTACTGCTTGACATTTTAGGCAAAGAATCACAACCTAAGCTTACTGCCACGGTGCTCTTTCTTACTTGGCTCTGGGTACTCAATCATCAAGCATGGTTTGTTTTTGCTTACCTGTATCTTCTCCCATAGTTAAATATTTTTTATGTGTGCAGCTTAAGATGGGAGTGTAACAATGTAATTAAGCAGCACCAGTGAGACAGATAAACACAACTGGTCTCTCCAGAATCGGAATAACCATTTGGCTTTCTTTTAATTTTTAGCATTAAATTTCCACTTATAAAAGAAATATATCCTGGGACCAGCAGTTAGCGTAATGGCTATGTCGCTGGACTCCCATGTAGTTGACCGCAGTTTGAGTCCTGGACCTGGTGGCTTAAACTCATGCTGGGTGGGTGTGCATGCGTGCCCAAGATCCTGAGAGGAGAATGGAGGATAAGGGATTGCAGCGTGGCCATTCCTTTTCCCAGGGGGTGATTTTTGGCTTTCTGTCTCTCTGGCGAGTGCACGCGCTCTATAGCAAAAACCTCTCAAAAAAATGAAAGAAAGGAAGGAAGGAAGGAAGGAAGAAATATATCCTTACTCAGGAAGGCAAAGCATTGCAAACAAACAAAAGAAATAGACACTGCTAATTCGCACACATAATAAAGGGGGACAGGATAGCAGGAGAGGGAAGGACTTGTTTCATCTTGGAGAAGGAGGAAGCACCCATTTTCTGTTGTGAAAGCCGAAGGAAATGCCCCCATTGTAATGTTTCTGTATGGTTTCTGCTAGTTCCCCATAACTCTGCATAATGTTGGAATTAGAGTTGTACAGACAAGTGTAGGCTTCCAGGTGGATTCATGGAGTAGTGACATCACTCAGTCTACAGACAAAAATCTACCCCAGGGACCAGTAGTTGGCATAATGGCTATGTCGCTGGACTCCCATGTAGTTGACCCCCGTTTGAGTCCCAGACCTGGTGGTTTAAGTTCATGCCAGGCACGTGAGTGTGCGTGCCCAAGATCCTGAGAGGAGAATGGAGGAGAAGGAATTGTGGCATGGCCATCTCCCCTGGGGGTGATTTCTTGCCTTCTGTCTGTCTCTGTCTTTCTGGCGAGCGCATGTGCCCTATAGCAAAAACCTCTCCAAAAAACAAAACAAAACAAACCCAATCAGGCTATAACAAAATTTTGAGTAGACAATTCAATTTTCAAACATAATGTTAAGTAATTAGGTATCCTTGGCACTACAATTTGGAGTACCAAGTAACATCACATAGAACTCGAACATTTCTGGTTGAGCGGAAATAAAAGAACCAGGTTACCCAAGTATGATGAAGAGGAAGAAATTTCCCAGTCAGGAGAAAGCTCCAGAGAGCGAGTGTCTTTGTATAATGAAGGGTCTAAGCAGGATATATTTATGTGCTTATATGTACATATTTGCTGTTCAAAACTAAAGTGCCAATTGAGTATCAGACCAGGGAAACATGTTTTATATCCCGTTTCCCATGAGAGTGATTCTTTCAGCATCAGATTTGCAGAGTAGATGGATGATCGGGATCCACTTCAGTGGGTTTTGTGACAAGTTCAAATATCTATTGACTGGGTTCATAAACTCTTCAGGGTATGGAATAGAATGGACAAGAATAGGCTAAGTGGACCATCTCAATCCAAAACACATGCAAATTTGTGGACTTAGGCCTTCCTCTCTTGCTTTCCAAGCAATCCTTACAATAACATGTAGTTTCTGGTAGGCAATGTTCTAAGTCTTTTAGGTAGACGGTATTAGTTCCTATAATTCATTGCAAGGCTTTATAAAGCATCACTGTAAAACGCTCTTGGTTGGATGGGCTAACAACTGAGGCTAACAAAATAAATTACTCCTTCTGGGAGAAGTGAAATTTCAGCACAGATGGTCCTGCTCTAGAACCCATACTTTGAACCAATATTATGTTACTTCTTTTCTTTGCATTAATCCCTTTCGAATGAGGTTACTTTATGCAAAATAAAGTGCAAACTAATAAGAGGAACTGAAGGGGTTAACACTGAAATAGACCCGAGCGCTGAAAAGACAAGAAACTAGCCAGCGCATCCAGTTAAAGCCCCCTTAGGATAGTCAATGGGCCTCCTGTTCCTTTAACTCTCGCTTTCGCTCCCGCCGACACTTTACAAAGCTGCGGCGGGAGGGGGGGG